GTATCTTATGCTCAAGGGAATGATGTATCAGAGAAAGGAAATGGCAGGTAAATTTAGAGATCAAAGATGTTTAGTCAGGTGATAGGCATAAATGGTATAAAAATAATGCATATCTTTCCATTTCTGTGCTTCTGTTTTAACCACTACTCTGTTTTGTCTGAGCAGTGACAGAAGGTAGGTATGGTGGAAAGGAAAAAAAAGGTTTAGCATGACAGTTTCAATTCCGCACCTTATTTGAACTCTAATTTAAGAAAGAATTTCAAGTATGAAGTATTTTCTTTGACATTTACTTAGAAAACCACTTTCATGCACTTTTAAGGTGGAATCATTACATTACTCTGAATTCAGAAATCCTAGGACATAAGCAATTTTTTTTTTTATTAATTTATTTTGCAATACAATTCAGTTCTACATATCAGCCACGGATTCCCTTGTTCTCCCCCCTCCCGTCCCCCTCACCTTCCCCCCAACCCCCCCCCCCCCATTCCCATCTCCTCCAGGGCAAAGCCTTCCCCACAGACTGAGGTCAACCTGGTAGACTCAGTCCAGGTAGGTCTAGTCCCCTCCTCCCAGGCCGAGCCAAACAATCCTGCATAGGCCCCAGGTTTCAAACAGCCAACTCATGCAATGAGCACAAGATCTGGTCCCACTGCCTGGATGCCTCCCAAACAGATCAAGCCAATCAACTGTCTCATCCATTCAGAGGGCCTGATCCAGTGGGGACCCCTCAGCCATTGGTTCATAGTTCATGTGTTTCCATTCATTTGGCTATTTGTCCCTGTGCTTTATCCAACCTTGGTCTCAACAATTCTCGCTCATATAAACCCTCCTCATTCTCGCTAATTGGACTCCCAGAGATCCACCCGGGGCCTAGTCATGGATCTCTGCATCCAGATCCCTCAGTAGTTGGATGAGGTTTCTAGCACAACAATTAGGGTGTTTGGCCATCCCATCACCAGAGTAGGTCAGTTCGGGCTGTCTCTCGACCACTGCCAGCAGTCTGTTGTGTGGGTATCTTTGTGGATTTCTGTGGGCCTCTCTAGCACTTTGCTTCTTCCTATTCTCATGTGGTCTTTATTTACCATGGTCTCCTATTCCTTGTTCTCCCTCTCTGTTGTTGATCCAGCTGGGATCTCCCGCTCCCCCAAGCTCTCTTTCCCTCAACCCTCGCCTTTCATTACCCCCACTCAAGGACATAAGCAATTTTTATGCTATCAGTTTCTAGTACCCTGACCTAGGTTAGGCTAACTCATCTCTTCTGTCCTTAGGTTATGACTATGTAATCACTGAGCTGTGTGAATTTGTAATATATTTGCCCCATGAGGGTAAAACAGTCTAAAAAGGTTTTGATTTGATTGTTTGTAAGTAAGCAATGCCTTAACAGAGTTAACTGTTTCGGTTTTGAGCATACATATGGCCATCATTGTGGTTTACTCAATTTGGCTACATAACCTCATTGTCTCAGATTCCCCTTCTATACAGGAATAGTAATTATTATACCAAACGAATGGAGTTGTAATCAGAAGAAAAACATCAATATCACAACAATAATGGAAAAAAAGTCCTTTTCTAACATATCTGAAAGATCCATACTCAAAAAAATTGAAAATAAGCATTTATCAGAATTTAATTGACAACATTTTTAAGCCAGCAGTGTGCACAATTATAGTATGTTTTATATTCAGTGATAGATTAGAAGAATTAATGTAATGAATACAAAATACTTAGAGTAGTGTCTGGGATCAAAATATCTCCATAGCTGGTATTAGCATTTTTCTATAAGTAAGCAATAACTATCTCTAGGTAAAAAGCAATAGGCTAAGGATGACAATTTCATGATGCTTAAATTCCTGCTAGTCTTATCGGTCTTGCATTCACTTCGTATCAAAGGCGGTGATATAAAGGCAATAACTTAATTCAGATTAATTAACTTTAAATACCCAGAATATGATATTAACAAGTTAGGCCTATAGAATCAAATATCTACATATAAAAAGAGAATTTTTTGGTTTATTAATATAATAAAGAAAATATAAATTCAGAAAAATTAATGTTTAGAATGTACATATATTTATTAGATTTTTACATATACTTTAAATAAAAATCACATTCTAGACGATTATGTTCTAGGGTATAATCAGCTTTATTTAGTGAATCTTAGAAAAATGATAAATACATGATAAATTACTTTTCAGGTATTGATTATTGAAACTAATCACTTTATTAATTGATACATGAGTAATGAGTATTTATACTGAACATCTATCCCTCAGAAATATTCCTAGATTATCAGTATAACATATTTTTTGCTCTGTGTTTCATTATTAAAGAAATATCAGACTTAAAGCTTTTACCGCTAATAGAATATACATTTAAAGAATTAGATGTACTATATTTTTATATATCGTTATTAATCCTTTGAGAATTCTGTACAACATATTTTCATGACAATCATGTGTCCTACTTCAACTGAGACCAGATACACACAACTTTTCACAAACACAAAAATCTATGTCTTCTATTTTTTTTAAGGCCATGGAGTTTAATTTATGTAACCCAAATAAAGAAATCTAATCTTATGATGGAAATGTAGAAATGATGAAAGAATTGACATAGACAGTGAAAGAAACAGCATATGACACAATAAGCTATGAAAGCATACATTGTTGATTTCATCCATGTTATGGAACATAGGAGGTATTGAAAAGACCTTAAGCTGACAGTATTCAAAATTATTCTTGTTCTAATAAGTCATGAATATAATAGTCAAAGGAATATGTGTGAGATAAAGGCTTTCTTAAAATTATTTACATCTGTCTCCTAATACAGCAAAGTAAAATTTCTTTCCCAGTTCTTTATTTATTGAACTAATAATACAAGTTGATATCTTAACTGTATATATATTTTTATTTGCCTGGAAGACCAATGCAGCTCTTATGCATTGAGTGTCTAGAACATAACATAAAATTATCTTTATCTCAAATGGTTTCTATACCCAACATCCATCATAAACATCTAATGAGATTTATTGGTTTATCATTTAAAAACAGAGACATTAGATATTTTAAAATGCAAGACATTTGAAATACTCTTGCATTTCATTTACTTTTATACTGTTTTGAATATGCCAGTTTTTACTTATTTAAATCTTTACTATTGAAAAATACCCTCATCATAATGAATATTGTGCTTTTATTTTTAGTAAATACGGTGTATCATATTTTCTTGGTTATTAAAAAACATATATAATGATTATGAAAACCAAAGAGATAATCAGACATGATTGCCCTTGAAAGTTTCAAGTGAATTGGGCTTAGAGAAGTTCACACACAGACACACACACACACACACACACACACACACACACACACACACACACACACATATGCAAAAAGAAAATAGTTTTGTTGAGATATATGGAAAATGTGTAATGAGAGAATGATAAGCTAATATATCCTAAAATGTTCCTTTAATACTTTGTGACCTCAACTATTTTTTTTTCAAAAGAACTTTTTTTCTAGCCATTACATTCCTGTTATGAAACTCTGTGGCAGTTGGGGCTTTCAGAATGATACAATCCTTTACAGGGCAATGACAAAATTGTTGAGAGAAAGAGAGAGAGAGAGAGAGAGAGAGAGAGAGAGAGAGAGAGAGAGAGAGAGAGAAAGAGAGAAACTGTTAACATCCTTTTCATAATTTAAGGAATTGGTTAAAAGAATCTATTCATGTCAAGTTGGACAACAATTACTCACAATTAGAGACATATTATTAATGACCTCTATGACTTCATTAAGTAAAATGAAAAACATGTCTCAAAATAAAATTTATCAACTAAAACATAATTTCTCTAAAATATGGATTTTTTTCTATTTCACAATAATGCAAGAATACATAACAGTATTGAAATTTATATATTTATTCATTTATATATGCAACAATAATAATCAAAGAAATAAGACCCTGTACTTGGGGAGGTACTTGGGATGGTATGGGAACAGCTGGGGCAAGGAAATGTAGAAATGATGTCATTATACTGTAGTTGAATTTTAAAAATATTAAGGAAAATGCTTAAAAAGGTTAATATGATGAATAATGTGTGTTTCTTAGGAACACAAGTGCACAGAGAGAGAGAGAGAGAGAGAGAGAGAGAGAGAGAGAGAGAGAGAGAGAGAGAGAGAGAAACACATTTCTAACCTCAGCCACCACGGTAGCATAAGGCATAATGAGTTAAATCTCTTAACATTACATAAAAGGAAAGTAAACAGTATTTCCACATTTTACTGAGGATAAAATTATCATTTAAGCCGGGCGGTGGTGGCGCACGCCTTTAATCCCAGCACTCGGGAGGCAGAGCCAGGCGGATCTCTGTGAGTTCAAGGCCAGCCTGGACTACCAAGTGAGTTCCAGGAAAGGCGCAAAGCTACACAGAGAAACCCTGTCTCGAAAAACCAAAAAAAAAAAAAAAAAATTATCATTTAAAAAGCAACAGTATTTTTTGAATACTTTGTTTAACCATACAGGTTAATTAATCAAATTTGGGGAAATATACCTCTAAAAGTTAAGCAGTTGATAAATTTTCTCCAAGCTTACCTAGTATTATTTTAAACAAGATTGTCTTTATATCTTTTTATGAAAAATATAACTTTTCATGAATTTTTATGCATATTCTATAGCTAAATGAATAAAAGAATGTATCAACCAATATCATATACCTCGAAAAGAAGGTGACTTACTGTTTTTTCTAAAAATAAAGTTTTTATTCTGTGTTATGAACATGTTAAGTTTACAGTGATACTATTATTCAGGGGAAATAGGATCCATGGACATAATTTTCTAATCTGATTTGCTTTCACTTATATTGAAGCAGTAGTAGAAGATTCTGATGATAAAAAGAAAATAGGCATACAAAGACATCTGTAATAGTCAACATGGCATATGTAAAATCTAGACAAAATGACAATGTCTCAGTACTAACACTGGTTCTACAGACATATTCATACCTCGGAATGAGTTTCTTCATTCTCTCGAATGTGGAAACCAGTAGAGCTGGGGCATTTCTGATGTGTGACAGGAATATTGTCACTTTTGTTGTGTGAGTTACACTGAAAGAGATTACCAAATAATTGTGACAAACTACTCTACGTGACGAATGTCCCTTGAGAGACAAGGCTATTTGATGTGAGCCTAAGGATAAAATGAACTTTGAACTAATCAGGCTCCACATTCACAGATAACATGCATGGTACCTACCATGGCAAAGCAGGAAAATGTGTCAAAATATTTTGTACAGAAAATGGAAGGCATACTATTACTTATTAGCATGTTAAAATATTAGTTCACTTCTTATATTCAAAGAAGAAACTATTCACCTATAATAAAACTTTTAGAAGTTGTAAAGTTTATACTTCAGATATTAACTTATGGGTGAGCCTTTCTCTAGAACTATATTAATATGGCTGCTTCTATATTTCTCAGAGGAATCTTCCCTGAAAAGCAAGACATAGTTCATTTTCTGTTCTTTCCTTTGTTCCTCTCTAGTCTCTTTTGGGAACAGGGACACCAGTAAATATTGCTGTTTTAGTTGTGTGTTTGTTTGTTTGTTAAGTACAGCATTATAGTTTCCAAAGTTTTTAATTTAATAAAAGGTGACATTGTACCACCAAGAAAGAGCCATCACTGACTCATTATTGAGGGTATTACAGTTTTATTCTCAGATCAAAATTTTGTTGTCTTTAAAAATATTTTTATGATGGGTATTGCATTTTGCAGATAATAATCATCTCATTTGCTTTTGTTTCCATATGACATCTAGGAAGACTTAAACACAATTATTCATAAGCCTTTAATATGGATAAACTTATTTCATGGTATATATATATATATATATATATATAATATATATATTATACACACACATACATACACACCCATTAACGGTTTGATTTCAGCTTTATTTAAGCCCCAACTCCTATGAGAAATCTACATGGGTAATTCAAACAAATAGTAATTGACATTTTTAACATCTGTTGAGAACTCAGTAACTTTTAGGTACAGTACCTAAAATGCTACCTTGCCAGTATCAATTCATTGAATGCAATTAAAATTGTTGAAACAACTTCATCCATGTTTTCTTTGATATTTCATTATGAAAGTGTCTTTTGTTTTCTAAAACAATAAAACTAAAATACATCTTAAAACAGTTATTTTCAACTATGATGATCATAGACATTTTAATCAATTTCTGTACCTAATCTTTCTGCATATCTATTCATGCTGATTAATCTAATTTAAACATCTCATGTACTATTCAGTTTTCCCCCAAAAGAAACATGTCCTAAATCCCTGTGGCTCACTAGTTGGTCTTACATTGACAAAGTATTAGATTCATTTGGAGAATTTTTACAAACCACTAATGATAGAATTCTGGTTCATATCAGTTAATTAAGAACTCATGTGTAATTATTTTTAAGTGCTTTGGTGATTTTAAATTGCAGAGATTGGAGTTCCTGAGTTAAGATGAACTACACTGAATTATGTCATTCACCAATTTGGTTCTGCTTGTTTGTTCATTTAGTGAGTAGAAAGTCATTTACTATGTGCATATGTGCATATTATCTCAAAACTCAGAGGTCCATAAAGATATGACTTGTAATAACTAATAATCTTATTCAGGCACTTAATACAAGGTAGCCATTAACCATCATGACTTGTAAAGATGCCTAAGAAAGTGTACACATAAATTGCTGAGGAAAAAGATGAGAACTTTTCTACTTTGGTTTTCTATAGCTATGGTAAAACACTGACCCAAATCATCTTGAAAAGGACAGGGTTTGTTTTTACTTACAAGTTATATATTGCATCAGTGAGAGAAGCCAAAACAGAAGTTCAAATCAGAAATTTAATGGAAGGTATTGATGTCGAAAACACAAAGATATGCTGCTTATATCTTGCTCCCCAGGTCTTTCTCAGCTTATTTTTTTTACAGGCTAGTATGGTCTACCCATAGGTGCTTCTGCTTACACTTGCCTGGGTCTTCTCAAATTAATTATTAATCAAGAAAATATCTCACCGACTTGCTCAGAGTCCAATCTGGTGGAGGAAATTCCTCAATTGAGGGTCCTTTTTCCCACATGATTCTAGTCTGTATCAAGTTGGTGAATACTAAGCAGCACAGGATCAAATCTAGACATTTGGGTTGGCTCTATCTGAAGAGACTTGAGATGGACTGTCAAGAATGCCCTGGGTAGTGTATATTCAAGATACAAGAAACTACATGAAACTCTTTGAAGAGATGTATTTTGTCAATTCATGAGAAGTTGTAGCAGTTCAAATATAAAGAATGTGAAGACTAATTTGAAGATGGATAGAAATTTACTGAACTCAGAAGTAGAATCAATAATGACAAGTAACACAACTGAATTCAGTGTAAGAAATGATTGGCTGGGATAGGCTTTTTACTAAGAACTGAATGAAGTCATTGTTTTTTCTCTTCTGAGTAGTACTCCATTGTGTATATGTGCTACATTTTCTTAACTCATTCTTCAGCTGAGGGGCTTCTAGTTTGTTTCCAGGTTGTAGCTGTTACGAATAATGCTGCTATGAACATAGTTGACCATGTGCTCCTATGGTACAATTGAACATTCCTTGGGTATATGCCCAAAGTGGTATGGCTAGGTCTTGAGGAAGATTGATTCCCAATTTTCTGAGAAACCACCACACTGATTTCCAAAGTGGCTGTACCAGTTTGCACTCCCACCAACAGTGGAGAAGTGTTCCCCTTGTTTCACATCCTCTCCAACATAAGCTGTCTGAAGTGCTTTTGATCTTAGCCATTCTGGCAGGTGTAAGATGGTATCTCAGAGTCATTTTGTTTTGCATCTCCCTGATGACTAAGGATGCTGAGTAATTCCTTAAATGTCTTTTGGCCATTTGAAATTCATCCTTTGAGAATTCTCTGTTTAGCACTATAGCCCGTTTTTTTAATTGGATTATTCATTATTTTGATGTCTAGTTTCTTGAGTTCTTTATATATTTTGGAGATTAACCCTCTGTCAGATGAAATTTGCAGGCAAATTGATGAACTAGAATATATCATCCTGAGTGAGGTAACCCAGATTCAGAAGGACAAACATGGTATGTACCCACTCATAAGTGGATACTGGAAGTAAAGCAAAGGATAACCAGACTATAATCCATGACTCAAGAGAAGCTAGGTTAACAAGGAAGATCCAAGAAGGACACATGGATCACCCTGGGAAGGGGAAATAAATGAGAACTCCATGAGTGAACCGGGGATGAGGTGTGGGCAATGGAGGTTAGGGGATGGGGAATGAGAACATAAAGGAATGGTATGGTTGAACTGGAACAGGGATGGAGTGGGAAAGCAATGAGAGAGATACCATGATAGACGGAGATATCATGAGGATAGAAAGAAATCCAGTGGTCTGGAAGTTGTCAGGAATCTGCAAGGATGTTCCCAGCTTGGACTACTAGAATAGTGGAGAGTGTGCCTGAACTGAACTGGCTTGCCCCAGTGATCAGATCGGTGAATAGACTAACTGTCATCACAGAACTTTTGTCTGAGTGATGGAGACAGATGTAGAGATCCACAACCTAACACCAGGCAGAGCTCCAGTAGTCAAATAGGAGAGAGAAAGGAGAGACTGTATGAGCAAGTGCATCAGGATCCTGATTGGGAAACCTGCAGAGACGACCAAACCAAACTAGTGGGAACTCATGAAAATTGGATCAATGGCTGTGGAGCCTACATGGGACTGGACTAGGCCCTCTGCATGGGAGACAATTGTGTAGGTTGATCTGCTTGGAGGGCTCCCTGGCAGTAGGATCAGAATCCATCCCTGGTGCATGAGGGGGCTTTTTGGAGCCCATTATCTATGATGAGATACTTAGTGCAGCCTTGAGGCAGGGGGAAGGGCTTGAACTTGCTTCTACTGGATATGCCTCCCCATGGGGGGCCTTGCCTTCTTGAGGAGGGGAGTGGGGGGTAGGTTGGGAGGGAAGGCTGAGGGGGCAGGAGGAAGGAAGAGGAGGATCTTTGATTGGTGTGTAAAATGAATGAAAAAATTTTCTTAATAAAAAAAAAACTGGATAAAGAATTGGGGATGAACTTTTATATCTTACTATATACCCTAAAGAAATACAAACCCCAAACAAAAGGAATTCTGTTGCAGCAAACTAATTATACTAAGATAAATTCTCCTGTTCCAGTAAGGCTTGACTCATAAGCTTCTCTGGTGTCTCATTATGGAAGAGCCTCCTTTTGTAAAACAGGCAAAGCATCAAAGGAAAATTTCAACCCACAGTTAATTCCTCACTATTTTGATTTTATCACTGTCAAGGTAGAAATTTTCTCTGGAAATTATAAATATAGGAATCAGAGCAATGAAGAAAAACAGTAATACTGTAAAAGTGTTTAGAGATGAAATATTATAAATAGCCAAATGTAAGACAAAAAGTCTTGGTGAGGAAATAATTTAATCAATATGTATCTTTCCTAATTTTATCTCAAAATTTGTAAAAGGAAACAAAATTATTTTAAATATTTAAAGTTTCTTCTACCCAAATATTCTACTATTCATAAAATTTAGTATGAATTAATTTATTAAAAACTATGGTTAATGTGCATTTGTTAGATCAGATTTATTCTTATAAGGTACATATGGAAATCAAACTTGAGATGTTGTAAGCTCAATAACAATTTTATTAAATGTAAATCACTGTACTGTAACTACATTTGTTTTATACTTTAAAGCCTTGAATATTTTTTTTTTTACTACCTGTGATTGATAGACTATTTAATATGTGGATAAAACTTGCTTTCCCAAAACACCCATTGTGATTCCTGAGAAAATGACTATTCACTGCCTATAGAAAAGCCTACTCAGACTTGCTACACAAGCAGCTACTTTAGCTCTTTCAATTTTGATACAAATCCTAAGAAAGCACTTCATAGTCATGATATCAAGAGAAAGAAAATCAATAGTTGAAAAGCAACAAAAGGTTCATGAAAAGTCACATGACCATAAATAAGAACTAGGCACTTGCTTTGCTAAAAGGGAGTTCATTACTTTTCCTACTTCAC